TGCTGTTTGGAATTCTGTTGAACAAGAAATTCTTCTGTTGTTTGCTCAGTCACTGTACGTTGCCGGCATACAATATAATCATAGTGCTTAGGGCTTTTACAATAGGGAATTGGAGAGAGATTGTCGTGTTGACTTTGGCAGTGGGAAACATAAATGCTTCTCCACTCAGATTACTGTTTTCTTTTGGAATAATTTAATAGACCTTCAGAGCTATGTCAGGAAATATATACTCTCGTTTTTGCCTTTTTCGGTTATTATTCCAAGTCATTGGATAGTTTTGATGTTCTCATTTGAAGGAGGGAACATGAGTCGAGGGAGCTTGCAGGTTACAGACATTTCTTGCCGCTAGTGCGGCTGGGCACTTTTATATGCATCTATGGATTTGGAATGCTGCGTACAGTTCTGGTTGCCCCATCTCAAAAAGGCTATCATGGAGCTGAGGCGAATGGGGAGGAAAACCTGATCGAAATGATTAAAAGTTCCTCATCTATGAAGAAAGGTTGAGGCAATTAGGACTTCTTAGGCCGGGGGGATGGTAAAGGAGACGTGGCAGAGGTTTCTAAAATTGCGAAAGGTGCGGAGAAAGAGAAGAAGAGAAGAGGAGATTGGATTTCTACCCCGCCTTTCACTACCCAAAGGAGCCTCAGAGCGGCTGAGAAACTCCTTTCCCTTCCCCTCCCCACAACAGTCACCCTGCGAGGTAGGCGGGGCTGAGAGAGCTCTTGACAGAAACTGCTCTTTTTCAAGAACAGCTCTTATCAGAGCTACGGCTTGCCCAAGGTCATCCAGCAGGTGCAAGTGGAGGAGTGGGGGAATCAAACCCGGTTCTCCCAGATTAGAGTTCGCGGACTTAACCACGACACCAAACTGGCTCTCGTGGATATAATTATTTCCTCCGTGCACAATGCTGGAAGGTGGCCGTAGATTCGTGAGGGGTGAGAAAGGTCCTTTATGTCATGGACACTTGATCGTGGGATCTGCTGCCACCCAGGCCCATAGCCACAGTGGGGCATTTCAGGGCCCTGCCCTCTTAATTAAAAGCCCCGCCCCACAAATAGCCGTGCCAGAAACCCTAGTTTTGAGGAAAGACCCCCCCCCCGCTGCTGGCAGCGGCCAGGGTGGGGGCACCACGGCTGGCCCCCCAGGCTTCCATCCCACTGTGGGAGGGGGGGCATCGTGGGACCCAGGAAAGCTTCCAAGAAGAGGCTGGATGAATATTTGCCAGAGATGCTTTAGACTGGTCCTGCCTTGGGCAGGGGGCTGGACTAGAGAGTCTCTGTGGCCCCTCCCAACTCTCTGTGTGATTCTGTGATTCTGTGTGTTTCCCAACCTGGATCTGGTGACCCTGCCCCCCCTCATCTCCCGCCAGTGGTCAGGGGGCGGACCTGGCAACCCTGTAATTGTAAGTGAGCTGCCGCCCACCTTGGACATCACCCCCTTCCTACCTGTTTAGGCCTTTTTTGGGGGGGGAGAAAGAAAACCCACCTGGTGCTGCAGAAGCCATCCGGGTGGCTCTGGTCCCGGGCACTGCCCGGGCCGGGGCCAAGCGCCAGCCAGATCACAGCCCGAGCCAAGGAAGGAGAGGAGAGGCCCTCTGGGGGTTGTCTGGGCCTCCTTGGTGCTCCTCCTGGCCTGAAGCATCAAGCCCCCCCGGGGGGGGGGGAGGGGGAGACAGACATAGGTGTGGAGAGGACAGCCTCCCCCCTTTCCAACCCCGATGGTGGTGCGGCTTCCTCTGGTCTGGAGTGCTGCTGCTGCCGCTTCTCCTCCCGAGTCCCCACTGGCCTGGACCTGGGGCTGAGCACTGCGGAGGATCCCCTCCCCTCCCGTCCCCCCTTCACACCTGGGGAGGGGGGATTCAGAACCCCTCTCCTCCCCCCCTCCCCAACCCGCTTGGGGTTGGCTTTAGTTTTTCTGCCACCTTCCCTTTTCCTGTGTATTTCAGGAAAAAAATCCCCTCTCTCTCCTCCCTGCCCTTGGGCGGGCGGGCTGGCTTTGTCTGTGTGTGTGTGTGTGAGAGAGAGAGAGAGAGGGGGGGGGGGGGGGGTGGGTGTAACCTCTCCTGGTTTCCTCCTTTCCCCTCCTCTCCACTCCAGCTTCCTCCGAATGACTGATGGATTCTCCTCCCTCCCTCTTCGGCTTCTTCTCTGTCCCCCCCCCCTCTCTTCACCTTTCCCCCCTTCCCCATTATAGAGGCCCGTGACGTGCTGCTCTTCCCCATTATACACCAACCTCAACTACTTGTGTGGCGTTTTATTGTCTCCTCTCCTCTATTATATCGCAATGCCGGCTTGGCTGGAGGTGTTTGATGTTTATGGTGTGTGATGCGAAGAACGGAGGCTTTCCATACAGCCCTTTCACCCGTGCAGACAGCGGAGGAGCCCTATGCTGAGGACACGGTGGGGCCCTTGCGTCTGACTACACTTGACTGGCCGCGTGGCCACAGGGGCTTCATGGGCCTGACGGGATCCCTGCTTTATGCGGTGCACCAGCCTGTACTGTTCGGGTTGTCAGCCCCAGCCTGCAAAGTTCCCTCTAAGCTGTGGAGTCCTGTGAGCAAAAACTCTACTTTGTGAGCTGAGCTACTGGCCTTAAAGTTGTGAGCGAGCGATTTGGCTACCGCATGAATTAGTTTGCTCTGGAGCCCCATCCTTCCTGAGCCAAGACAAAAACGTGTGAACTGGAGCCTAAAAAACTGTGAGCTAGCTCACACGAGCTCAGCTTAGAGGGAACACGTCCCCCCCCCCAGGTAGGGAAATTGGGAAATTTCTGGAGATTTTGGGGGGGTGGAGTCTGGGGAGGGCGGGGTTTGGGGGAGGGGAGGGACTTCATCAGGGTAAAAAAGCCATAGAGTCCATCTTCCAAAGTACCCGGTTTCTCCAGGGGAGCTCATCTCTGTTGCTTGGAGATCTCTTGTAATTCCAGGCGATCTCCAGCCACCACCTGGAGGATGGCAACCGTATTTGATGACCCAATGGGCAGTAGGTTCAGGATGGGCATAAGGCAATTCTCCTTTACTCAGAGAATGATTAAAAGGTGGAATTCCCTGCCAGAGGATGTAGTGATGGCCTTGAAAAGGGGATTAGATAGATTCATGGAGGAGAGGTCTATCAGTGACCTCTAGCCATGGTGGCTGAGGGGAACCTCCACGTTCAGAGGCACTGAACCTCTGAATCCCAGAGCCAGGAGGCAACATCAGGGGAAGGCCTCGGCCTCTCTGCCCCGTTGCTGGCCCTCCAGAGGGACTGGCTGGCCCCTGTGTGAGACGGGAGGCTGGACTGGAGGGACCCTCCCTGGTCTGACCCAGCAGGGCTCCTCTGAGGTCCTTATCAGAGGAAGGCATCGGCCTCCCTGCCCTGTTGCTGGCCCTCCGGAGGGACTGGCTGGCCCCTGAGTGAGACGGGAGGCTGGACTGGAGGGACCCTCCCTGGTCTGATCCAGCAGGGCTCTCCTGGTGTCCTTATTGTACATACCAGCATGTACCAGAATCCATTCTGGGAAAATCCTTGTTTTCTTGCAGGTCTTATCTGGAAGAAGCCAACCAGTAAAGCCTTTAAGCCTCTGGCACCCTTTATTCTGGAAAAGATAGAAGCACAACGGCGGTATTTGTGCTGTCTTCACTTTTCTTACTGTAGGATTCTAGAAGAACCAGCAGGAGACCCATGAGGAGTGGGGGGGGGGAGAGAAATACCTCCCCCCCTCGCTGTTTCCCACGCCCTCTCTGTGCTGCCCCCCTCCATCCCTCTCCCCTCTCCTCTTTCCTGCCCCCCCCATCAACACCTCCTCTGCTGTCTCGGACATCTGCTGGCTTTTCTTTTTCTTTTAAAGTTGTGATGCATGTATACAAGTGCAAACATCTCTTCTCTGGTTTGGGGTTTTTTAATTTTTTTTTGCCAGTTTTCAGATTTTTTCCTACAAACCTGGATGCTCTCCTGGCTTTGTAGACCCCCCCCACTTCAAACCTAGCTTGGTCCTGTGTACATTTTGGTCTGCAGATTGGAATTCAGAATTAGGTGTGTGCATCTTGGAAACAATCCCAATCAGAAGTTTTCCTCCGGTTGACATGGAAGAGAAAAGAGTTTGGAGTGTGTTTTCCTCATGTTTCAGAGATCGAAAGTTACACCTGTCCTGAGAGAGCACTGCGCTCAGCTATTGGCGGGATATCTCTGAACCCATCCCGTTCCTCATTTTCTGTGTCTAACTCATTTGTTATGAGGGCCGGATCTGACAAGTGAGACCTTGTCGGGCTGGGCCACGTGCGTCATAAAATGTAATGCCACGAAGAGGAGCTATAAACTTTACAAAGGACACAAACACAAAGGGTTTCTTTTTTAACTTAAAATAAAAACATGCTTGAAACATGAGCACTCTTGCAATATTTTGCTTATTTAAGAGTGTCTGATAACTGACACCTCTTGCTCTGAATTATTGCATCAGAATGTCTGTGCTGTTGCCATCTTGAGGATGCTGTTCAGTATCTGTAAGCTGCAAACCTACGATGATGCAGCAACAGCAGAACTGGAAGAAGAAGAAGAAGGAAGCAGAAGACAGCCAGTTCCACTGCGGGCCTGATAGAAGCCCTCCAGTGGGGGGGGGCCTCATCCGGCCCCCGGGCCTCATGTTTGACACCCCTGGTGTAGCCGGTTCAGGAATTTCCCCAAGTACAATTATACGCTCATATCCAGTGTAGCAGATGTTGCTTTTAATGGGTACAGGGAAATGAGCGGGGGACGCTCTCCCTTGCTGATTGGGTTCAGGGAGCAAATCAGGCCGTCCAGTCCTAACAGCTGTGGCAGGTCTTGGTTTGATTGCCCCCCCCCCTCGGTTGGGATGTTCGGCCAGATCATTCCTGTTTACACTTGCATTAAATGACTGGATCCTGCTTTGAAAGTGATTGCGTGGTGAGCATGCACCTTGGCAGTTTGTAATGATACCTTGCATGAATTTGCAAAAAATAAAATAAAAAAATGACGCTTAGTAATGACGCTTTCTTTTTGCAGAAAGAGAAGTTTCCCCCGACACCCAGAGGGAACTCCGTTTATCTATCCAGATAAGGGCCGCTTGGTAAGTCTCCTGCTTACGGGTCCTAACTCTAACTTTAGTATTGACAGAAATATATTGTTTGGGGAGGGAGAGAAGAAAACGGACCCTTGGTTGTATGAGTGTCCTGCAGCCTCTGTGCAGAGTGTGTGTGCGGATCGAGGCAGCCGTGACGGGCCTGGGGCCTGAACTGCCGGAGGCAGAGAAGGGATCCTTCAACCTTTTAGCGGGCGCCTTCCAGCTCATTACACGGTTGCCAGGGCACTGGCATCATTCGACTTCAGACCGAAAGGCCACTGGTGACAACAGCTGTCGAGGTTTGTGCCACAGAAACTGGCAGCCCTTGAAGGGAACCCCACGAGGCTGTTGCCTATCTGTAGCCCTAATCCAATGTCCTGAGTCTCAAGAACTTTTGTTCACTCCCAGCACCTGTTGGAGGAACTGTGCTTGCAGAGTCAGAAGCCAGCGGGAAAGAGGGATCGCTCTTACTCCTTATCAAAGGATTATCTAAAAGGAGCGCAGAGGCTAGTGGGGGAGGGGGTTCCTGCGGTTTCTGAAATGTGAGTTCTCGGGGTTGTTTTTTTGGTGAACCGAAAAGGGTTTTTTTTTTGTTGGTCTTGCACTCAGCATTGTCGTTTGACTTTGTTGCTTCTGGATGTCTAAAACAGCAACGGTGTCCAGTCCTCCCAGAAGAGCCTGTAGGCTGGCTCTTTTAACTCTGTGTGTGAAGTGGCCCCTTCCCCTGTTCCGCTCTTAGCCACGAGGGCGTCTTCGCTGCCTGTTCCCTTTCTCACCAGTTCCCCCTGGTACGTCTTGTCCTGCACCTTTTGCCTGCCTGAGGGCAAGAACAGAGCAATTCGGCAGAGTTGCTTCTGAGACATGACCCAAGAAAGAGACTTTGCCAGAGGGCATGGTCCAGCAAACATTATCAGCTTCTCTGGAAGTTCGAGTCACAGTCTGGAATCCCAAGCCCCCCCCTCCCCTTGGGAGAACCACAGAAATGGACAGGAAGCCGTTTGCAGCTGTTCCTTTTGAAGCTGGCTGGGAACCCCTTTTTTAACAAAAACATTGTGAATGGCAACCCATGTGATGGGCTTTGCCGGATTAAGCATCTGTTGTTTATTTTAATGCACATAAGAAAGGATTGCAGGGGACGCTATTTGTCCGTTGGACCCCCACCGCCATTCGAGAGAGGTCTACAAAATTCTGTAAGGGACAGAGCAGGTAGAGAAAGAAGTACTTTTCTCCACTTCTTGCTATAGAGGAACTCGTGGGCACTCCATGAAATTAATGAGCAGGAGGCTTAGAACAGATAAAAGGAAGTACTTTTTCATCCAAAGAGTATTTTAACATGTGGGATTCACTGCCAAAGGAAGTGATGGTGGCTACCAGTATAGACGGCTTCAAGAAGGGATTGGATAAACATCTGGAGCAGAGGCCCATGAGTGGCTGTTAGCCATGGGGTATAGAGGTAACACAGTGGGAGGGCTTCTGGAGTTCTGGCCCCGCTGGTGGAGCTCCTGGTGGCACCTGGTGTTTTTGGCCACTGTGTGACATGGAGCGTTGGACTGGATGGGCCATTGGCCTGATCCAACATTGGCTTCTCTTATGTTCTTATTAGACAGGACAGCAAACAGACCATATACTCTACCGTTCTTAAAATTATTAAGAGGAGGGGCACGGTGTAGGCGTAAGTGGCATGGTTGTCAGTCAAATGTATACACGCACTGTGGCTGGCTCTCATGCAGTCCGAAGCACAGTTACACCTGTCTGAGCTGATTTACTTCAACTGACTAGGAGAGGTGCATCTCTGCTTAGGATTTCGCAGCTGAGGAATGTATTGCTGGGGGTGTCGCATCGTCTCCAGCAATCAGTTGTGCCTCCTTTGGTGAGAAGGGAGTAAGATAGTCTTGATTTGTTGGATGTGCAGCTACGTCTTTTTGACAGCATTGAGCTCAGTGGACGGCAGTGGATCTATGTTTTTTTTAAAAAATCAGACTTCCAGCTGGTGTTTTTTAAGGCATGAATTTGGCAGCAGGTTTTTTTTTGGGGGGGGGGAGGGTATATCTTAATTTGGTGCTTGGAGAAGATGGATTATAATCCATAAAGTAGGAAATCCTGAAACTGTCTCAGATTTCTTTTTGCGATTATCAGTCATGACAAGCCTAAATGGAGTGCGACTAGTTAGATGGTGTTTCATTGCATGTGGTGTTTTTGCCGTGCTAACACAACTAGTTACCAGGATGAAGCTCTGTGATCTGGAGTAAAGGCATCTTCTCTAACTGAGCAATGGCATCTTGCAAAGAGATGTCAGTTGCCTAAATGTTTTTTAAAAAATGATGCTTGCTTGAGTGCTGTGCAGGCATAATGCGTAATGTTCAGGCACGATGCTTGTTTTCCTTGAGCCATGACTCTTCTATCCGAATACCTAAATCAGGGTTAAGAATTGGCTGTGAGCCAGCATGTAAAACCATCGTTTGAAAAATATTTACAAACCACGGTTTGCATTAACAACGCGTTATCTTGATATTTGCATCAAGGAAGCCACAATTAAGACCGCTTCCTTGCCTCTTTTCTTGCAGAATGACAAATAATAGCGCAATCCTAACCCTAAACACAGTTACACCTTTCCAATCCCATTGTTTGTACTCTAAGTGTCCCTAAGCATTTGACCTTCGGGACAAATCTTAGCCAGGCAAACTCAAGCACTGTTTCATGATGTATTTGGGATCTTAGCAAGGGTTCAGACAGCACCCCCCGGGTGATGCTGTTTTCCAAATACCAGTTGCAAGCTAGATTATGACACTCTGCGATTTATTCTGTGTGAGCTGTCATCCGTGCCTCTGGGACTAGTGTTTGGGACATCTCCTTCTTCCATGACAGAGCAGAACAGCCTTTGAAAAATAAATCAGGCTTGGGGTACACCAGTTTCCATTGGCAAACAGGGATGTTGTCCTCGCAGGGTGTGTGAAATGATCATGGAATACAGCCTCTTGCTCAATGACGCTACATATTCATATATACTAAAAAAAATTGGAAAAATACACAATTAACTTGCTCACTGTTCACTGATGGTGACATACTAATATTTTGTGGTGAAGAGGTGATAAATAGCAGGGAGTTGTTTAGCAAATGGGATCGAGAAAGTAAAACCCCCACAGCTGGAGAACACCTGAGCATGGGGGAGGGGAAAAGCAGAAGCCCAGGGGAGCGGATTTAGGGGCAGGTGTGTCCTAGTGTCTCCTCACCTGCCCTCCTTTCCCCTCCTGGCTGTTTTTGTCACGGGGCAGCTGGTCTCCAGTGGTCTCTCCACATCGCTGGGTCTTGCACGGTCAAGTCGGTCTTGCTCTGGCTGTCGTTTGCGCCTAGAGGTGCCTTGTCAGCACAGGAGAGTCCAGCTGCAGACAACTGCCGTGCTACAGTGACAGCATAATAGCGGCATATTATATATGACCACGGCAGTGTTCCCTCTAAGCTGAGTTAGTGTGAGCTAGCTCACCGGTTTTTAGCCTCCGGCTCGCACATTTTTGTCTTAGCTCAGGAAGGGATGGTTCCAGAGCAAACTAATTTAATGCAGTGGCCAAATCGCTTGCTCACAACTTTAATGCCAGCTGCTCACAAAGTAGAATTTTTGCTCACGCGACTCCACAGCTTAGAGGGGGCATTGGACCACGGTGGTAAAAACAGAGGTGAGTCCAATGCAAATGCCCATTCTCTTGGAAGCCAGTGATTGGTGTGCAGCAGTAGAAAAGAGCAAGACTCCAGGAGCACCTTGCAGAGTAACAAAAAGTTGTGGCCGGGTATTTGAGCTTTATAAGGACAGACGGACTCACATTCTAGCTATCTGAAGAAGTGCGCCGGGACTCACGCAAGCTCCTCCCCTGCCACACATTTCGTTAGTCTTGAAGGTGCTCCTGGACTCCTGCCCTTTTCTCCTGCTGCAGACAGACTAACAGGGACACCCATCTTGATCTATCTGAAGAAGTGACTGCAGTGACTCACGAAAGCTCCTCCCCTGCCACGAATTGTGTTAGTCCTTGGAGTGCTCCTGGACTCTTGGTCTTTTCTCCTGCTACAGACAGACTGACAGGGCCGCCCATCTTGGATCTATCTGAACAAGCGAGCAGTGACTCAGGAAAGCTCCTCCCCTGCCACACATTGTGTTAGTCTTTCAGGTGCTCCTGGACTCTTGCACTTTTCTCCTGCTCCAGACAAACAGGGCGACCCATCTTGATCTATCTGAAGAAGTGACTGCAGTGACTCACGAAAGCTCCTCCCCTGCCACACATTGTGTTAGTCTTTAGGGTGCTCCTGGACTCTGGCTCTTTTCTCCTGCTACGGACAGACAAACCCATCTTGATTGATTTGTAATATCGATGATGCAAAGTTTACTCTGAGAATTAAAGTTTGAGCTTGGTGCATAAAAGGCAATAGGGTGTCCTGTTTTGTGACCTGTTTTATTTGATATTAACTATCCAAGTTAGTTGCCTAAGAGCTTCAATATTTTTATAATTGGTGCTGAGGAATATTAAAGTGAACGTCAGGGCTTTTTTCTGGGGAAAATGGAGTTCCGGAACCTCTTCGATAATTTTTTTTTTAGAAGTGTTTAACAGTTCTTGAGTTTTCAGTATACAGATTAAAAACTTCTTTTCCCTCTTGAGGGTTCCAAAAAAAGGCCCTGGTGAACATTACAGTTGTGTGTGTGTTTATATGCCTATACATATATGCACAATATGTTTGATTTATTTCATCGATCATGATGTGCTTTGACAATAAGGTACTGTAATATACTTGTGCCAAAAAGTATATTCAACTGAGCCCACCAAGTGGGTTTTGGGTCTTCTACCACTCTATATATTCATCATCAACCTTAATAAGGTCCACTGACCTTTGGTGTTTAATGTCCCCCCCCCAACATTATTTTGTGGACCGCCATGTGCACATGGGGCAGCCTTCCGCTCATTTCCCCCCCCCCAGTTGCGTGGAATGGGAAAACGAAATGTGTCGATATGATTAAATCAACG